CTCTCTCTCTCTCTCTCTCTCTCTCTCTCTCTCTCTCCTGGCAGTTGATATCTATGCTGACAGTTCTTGATTTATCAGTGAGTTTGATGTGCTAGTCTATCTGCTTTGCTTCGGTTCTTTTGAAGCAGTTTGAGTTCTTGTTAATCGACCATGTTGATCAACTGTGGTGCTACCATAAAGCTAATTACATATTATCCCTTATAATTAGTTATCGTTAACACTTCAGTTATTTCATTTTAAAAAATTATGTTGACATTTATGTAGTTATGAAACTAAAATATTTAAATCTATTTACTAATATTGTTGGTTTTATCAATGGAAACATGTAAATAAAAGGTAAAAAAAAATCTAATATTTCACTTGGTGGTTGTGGACGATATTAATGGTGGCAAATGCAAAGCAATTACGGAGCACTAAAAATTAATTAAGATTGTATAGTTGGGTCTCTCGCCCTCTCAAGAACTTAAGTAGTACCTTTACTTTGCTTTTCCTCCTTGTGCTCACTTGACTCTCATCGTCGACTAGAGCCCTCATGGTTGCCTCTACCTCGTCCACCTCCTTGATGTACCCCACTACCTTGTCTCCGTTGCTCTTTACCGGGTTCAGTAGTACAATCGTAATAGTTTCCCTTGCCCTCTCGCTCCCCCCATCCACTAGGAGTCTGACGTCATCCACTCTTGGAACGCTTCTATGCACTTGTCACATGGGCAATCACTATCGTCACATCCTCCACCACCCCCTTCCTCCCATTTTTTACCACCAGCATGAAGAGGGGTAGCTCGACGAGGGTTGTGCGATTGAGCGAGTAGAGGTCAAGGCTGAAGAGGGCCTTGAGTGCGTCCTTGATGGACCTAGTCGATGTGTTGGGGGCACTGAGGAGGTCTATGAGGGCGACAATGAGGGGCTTCTTTGACCCGATGATGGAATGGTAATCTTCGACAGAGAGGAAGCTGTAAAGGTTGTGGCGACAGGGGAGAGGAGGCAGAGGGCGATGACAAGGGTGTCGAGGATGCTCGGGGCGACATAAGCGCTTCATGGGCGGAGATGGAGAGGTTGAGGAGGGTAGCGATGATGTTCTCTTGAGCCTTAACACAGACGAGTGGTAGTGGTGGTGATCGATGAGGTAGGCAATAAGGAGGGGCATAGCATCGACATCGGTAAGGGGGGTACACATCTCCAGGTCCTGCTTCGATATGCGATGGATCTCCGTGATGGCTTCGACAGTAAACTTCGATTCTGTAACGATGGAGCATCGATGTAAATGCAAAGCAACGAAAGGGTTGCTTGGCAACTACGTCGACGTCGATGTCAACGTAGATGCATAGTGATCCTCACCTCTGTCGTCACTCTCTTCATCTACAACAACCACTTACGACTCCTAGCGACACTACCATCCACCACCACCGATACTATCGTTATCACCTTTTTTTTTTGTTTTCATATTTTCGTTGATAAAACTTTAGAATAAATAGATTTAAATATTTCATTTTTCATAACTATAGAGATGTCGATACTGAGATGTTAAAGATAACTAACTATAAAAAATAATATATAATTAACCTATGTAATCATTCAATGATTCCTTGCATGAGTTCTATATTAAACAAGATATTATATTAACTCGAATGTGAAATCTAATAACATTGAATAAGTCGGCTGCAAGCAGCATTGGTAATATATATATATATATATATATATATATATATCCAACACAAACACGCATATAATGTAGTTGTGGCTCCGATGACTTGTGTAAGGCACACATACTACCACGACGTCGTTTCAATAATCATTCGGATGCGTGCATGAGAAAATCTCATCCGATAAGCATTAACATAGAAAACCAAGTGTGATATCTACTACTCACTCAGCAGGTGACCAAGCCCAATCAAATGAATCTCCAAGGTAGGTTTTTGGTTTTTGTTGCTCGGTTTATTTGGATCAGCTCTTACAAACCAGTGATCCTCAAAAACAAAGCAGCAGGTATTGTTACAGAGAAGATCTAGTTGATCTGCCTCTGAAGCAGTTTGACATCCAAACTTCTTGTCCAAGTCTTGTGAACAAATGTGATCTGTAGGGATTTACAATCATGAAAAGTTATCATAAAAAGTTTCTCGAGATTGATGAAGTCAATCAACTCCCATCCCGGCAATCTTCACCGACACGCCAAAGCAATTGTTCTTTCGCCGATTCTTCAGTGATCACAGATTACAGGCCATTGAAATCGCTTGAGGTCAAATCATGTACTAGAATTTTCTGCCTTTCTGTGGCATTTCCTGCAGGTTAAAATGGAAAGCAAAGTCAGCGTAGGGAACAAAAGGAGATGCAGGAGTAATACACTATTGCGGGTACTAAAAGACATGATTTTGATGTTCCAACTGTTGACAACACCAATGTTTTCTTTGTATATCAGTAGTAAATGGTTTATAATAACTTGGGTTATAAAAGCATGATCGATGTAACATTGCATCCATTTTCATATGCTTGTATTGACATGTAATTTTGTCATCTTATCAGGTCACCAAAGAAAAAAGAAGTATGGTAAGTCTGCTTAAAAATAATAACAAAGACAAGGGTAAATCAAGATGACACCAAAGGTAAAGCAAGATGGTTCCATGTTTATCGCTATGAATTATTTATCGCTATTAACTATTAGACCAATTAGCATACTTCAGTTTAAACCACCAAAGGTTCCATGTTTCTGGCTTGATTGCAGATTCATGCTTCTACTTAGTATCATGATGGATGGGAAGGTTCCGACTACCTTAAATTGTCTAATTTCCAACATTCAGTTACAAATATTTATTTACCACTGAATAAACGATAACTACTTTTGAGTTATACAGCAGAATCCACATTTATTTTGGCTTGAAGGATGTCTCAGGTTTTAGTCATTTATTACAAGGCCTACATAAGATATTAATGTATGCCTGATCAGATTGTCATAAGATATTAAATTATGACAATCTGTAGCATTTATCATAGATTTTAATTTAGTAAACAACAGATTTTATAAGTCTCAGCCAGAAATATATAAATACAGAATTGAGTGTAGAAAACAAACTACAAGACATAATTTATCTTCAACGGTGTAAAAACATACATTCACTCAAACAGATTAGTAGAATCTTAAAGAATTATAGAACACAAAACATTTTTCTGTAGCTAACTAGAAATTTCATGTAGGCATAGCGTAAACATTTTCTTGTCAGAAATAAAAAAAAGTGCCAAATTTTCATAGTCAAGATTCATCATATGTCTGAAGCAGTGCCATATCCCCCTCCATTCTTTCCTTTTATTTTTAAATTAGTTTATGCAAGTAGAAAACCATGTGAAGAACTCGGTTCATGGAAATATCTATATTTACAACTATTTACAAGAAAATGAATATTGGTCTCCAAACAGCATATTTTCATAAACAGAACTAACAATCTAAATGCACAGTAAAAGACACTATAACAGATCCTCTAACATGCTTTAGAATAGAACGCCGGATCAAAAGTTAAAATGGATAAACAGATTAACTTACGGGTGGATAGCTCTGCACATAATAAAATTGTGGAGGCTGCCCAACAATCATCTGCTGTCCATACTGCAAACGATGATAAAAATGACTAAACAACCACTATCTTGCACAACAGATGGACATATCTGAAAAAGACTCTTCTTTGTTGGCAAAAATAAGTAAATATAGGAAAATTTGCACACCATTGGTCCACTAGGGTGGACATATGCCTGGGATGATTGCATTGGTGCAGCCTGAGGATTGTAAAGAACAGGCTGATGGCCAAATGATGGACCAACCTATAAAAATGTGAGCACAAGACATTGAAAAAATGATAACAAGGATAAAATAGGATCAGAATAGAAGCGGAAAAAGGTGGAGCACAAAGCAGATCACAAACAAGTTGACATCAATGGCAATATTTCCTTTTTGAAAATTCAGTAACCGTCAATGATAACAAAGATATGTGCACATCTGATATGTTCTTAATCTGGTTCACTACCAAGTAAATGCTAGATGTTATATAACTGGATCAAAATTTATGAGTTGTCTTTGAGAAGACATCCTTGTAGTTAGGGCAAACAATGTACAGTGTTGGGGTCAAGGGTTTGAGTCCTAATGGAAGGATTAAATTAAAAAAAATGAGGCGACTTTTGTTCACTATCAGTAATCTAATATCAATTTTACCAATTTCACAACCTTTTAAGTTTCCCAGAGAGCTTAAAATAAGAAAAAACACAAGATAGGTAATGAGTGGGACACTGATGGCAGACAGTGATACCAATCTAAATTTTCCTCCATATGAAGAAATAAAACAAGATCTTATAGTACATCACTCACACGCACAATCTATATTTGTAATGGTAATGAATTGTCTAGTCTTAGAACAAAGAAGAGGCCATCAAACATATTTAGTAGTCTAGCATAGCTTAAATCACATTCTGAAAATAACATGTAATGACTCTACACATGCATGAACTAAATGACACTCAAGTCAATTGAAAAGAGAAGAAAAAGACAAAAAATTACTGAGACAATATCAAATTCTCATTATTCTAAGCTTCATAGGTAAAAAGGATATAACAAAAATAATGACTACATAACAGGAAAAGGATTCATAAAAGGGAAAGAAATTAAGTAAAGGTCAATCACATAATCTACACAAAACTGATTTATAAAAACTAAGAGCACAATACACAAATGGAAAAACAGAGAAAAAAAATCAGGAACTTACCCCCACACCTATAGGCAGACCATGCATATGTGGAACAGCAGTTGCATTACTAGGGTAATAAATTGATCCATCAGATACTGCTGTATGCAGCCTCATAGAAGATAATGGGGTAAAACTCTTAGCATTCGGATTGAGCTTAAATTCCTGAATCATAAAAGCAGAGGTAACTAGGCTGAAATATTAAAGGAAAAAATGAAACCAAATGAAC